TAGTATGTATAAAACTCTTTCAGAATTTTTTTTCTTTGCTATAGGGCGCATGCGCTCGCCAGAAAGACAGAAAGCAAGAAATCACCCCCCCAGGGGGGATGGCTACGCCACAATCCCTTCTCCTCCCCTCCATTCTCCTCTTAGGATCACGCACGCACACGCACCTGGCGTGAGTTTAAGCCACCAGGTCCGGGACTCGAACCGCAGTCGACTACGTGGGAGTCCAGTGACATAGGCATTACGCTAATTGCTGGTTCCAGATTTCTTTTTTTGTTTTTGGAGAGGTTTTCGCTATAGGGCGCATGCACTCGCCAGACAGAGAGACATAGAGACAGAAAGCGAGAAATCATCCACCGGGGGGATGGACACGCGGCAATCCCTTCTCCTCCGTTCTCCTCTCAGGATCTTGGGCATGCATGCACACGCCCCCGGTGTGCGTTTTAAGCCACCGGGTCTGGGACGCGAACCGCAGTAGACTACGTGGGAGTCCAGCGACAGCCAGTAGCTAACTGCTGGTTCCCCTGGTTCCAGATTTCTTAACCCCCTAGGGTAGATGGCCATGCCACAACCCTGTGTCCTCTCGGGATTTGGGGCATGCATGCACGAACACATGCTGTTTTAAGTCACTGAGTCTGGGATGTGAACCAGTCAGCTACATGGGAGTGCAGCAACATAACCATTACGCCATCTGCTGATCCCATTTTTCAGATTTCTTCTGTCACTGATGCTTTTGAGAGTTGTACTCTAACATTCACTGAAGTCCTGTGGTTTCGACTGCACAATTTGTGTACCATTACTGTTTGCTCCATGTCATGTTATAGACCTGACTATATGGCAAAATGTCAATTTTCAAAGATAGTGCAAGGATATAAAATGCTCATATCCTTTAACTCTCCCTACATATTTTTAAACTTTTGTATTAAGTTGTGGATTGGGGCTGGCAGGTGGTGTGGTAGTTAAGGTGTTGGACTCTCACATGGCTGACCATTGTTCAAGTCCTGGACCTGGTGACTTTCTTTCTCACTCACTCTCCCAAAGTAAAAAAAAATAATAATTCTTTAAAAACAAAGTTGAGGGTGAGGAATAATTAAAAACAAAACAAAACAAAAAACTCAAAAAACAAAAAAAAACCTTACAAAAGCTCTGCTGCTTACAGTGCACAGGTTCTCATTATTAAAAGTATACTTTAAAAAAACGTTCTTTCAGGGGACCAGCAGTTAGTGTAATGGCTATGTTGCTGGACTTCCATGTCGTCGACTATGGTTCGAATCCTGGACCTGGCGGGTTAAACTCATTAAACTCATGCCCAGCATGTGTGCCTGCGTGCCCAAGATCCCAAGAGGAGAATGGAGAAGGGATTGTGGCGTGGCCATCTCCCCTGGGGGGGGGTGATTTCTCGCTGTCTCTCTTTCTGGCGAGCACACATGCCCTATAGCAAAAAAAACCTCTCCAAAAACAAACAAAAAAAGTTCTTTCAGAACCAGCAGGTGGCGTGGTGGTTAAGGCCCTGGACATTCCCATATGGACTGCGGTTCAAGTCCTGGACCTGATGGCTTGCTTTCTCAATTCCCATCTCTCTCCCTGTGTGTCTACAGTCAAAATAAATGACTGATTAAATAAACAAAAATGTTCTTTCATGAGAAAGATATACAGACACTCTTGATGGAGTCCTCATGCACAATCCTCCCCTCAGCCCGTGCAATCAGGATCACAGGTTCACCTCACATGCTCAGGTAGACCTAGGATGTGAATCTGGAAGCTTTCATATGGCCACTAGCATATGAGAAGTGCCTCTACCACATATGCCAACAAGGCTGGGCCTAAAGTATACCTTTTAAAGGTCCCACACACACACACTATAGGGCGCATGCGCTCGCCAGACAGCGAGAAATCACCCCCCAGGGGGGAGGGTCACACTGCAATCCCTTCTCCTCCATTCTCCTCTCAGGATCTTGGGCACACACGCACACGCGCCCGGCGTGAGTTTTAAGCCACCGGGTCCAGGAACCAAACCGAGGTAGACTACGTGGGAGTCCAGCGACATAGCCATTACGCTAACTGCTGGTTCCCTTAAAGGTTTAACATACGACTCCCTTTCACTGCTTTATAATTATACAACTATACCAAGCCTATTTAAGAATATTCTCATTTGCTCTTCCATTCACTAAATGGGTTCAGATTATATTGTGAACTGTTCTAAGTCAAACTCTAAAGTAGTGGTTTAATATTATACCAAAGGAAACTGGGACAGCCAGTGGTGTGTTACTGAAGGCAGAGATCCCACATGGCTGACCATGTGATTCAAGACCTGGACCTGGATATTAAAAGACCCCACATATGGGAGCAGCAGATGCAGTAACGGTTACTTCACGGGACTCCCATATAGGTGACTGTGGTTCAAATTTCAGACCTGGCAGCTTAAAACTCATGCTGGGTGCATGTATGTGCCCAAAATCCCAAAGAAAATGGAGAAGGGATTGCAGCATGGCTACTCCTCCCTCCTCCTAGGAAGGTTGACTTTTCAATCTGTTTGTCTGGCAAGTGCATGCACCCTATAGTTAAAAGAAAAAAAAAACAAAACAAAAAACCAAAACCATGGGTGCATTTATGTGCACATGCCCAAAATCTTGAGAATGGCCTGTGGTGTGTCCAATCCAATCCCCCACTCCTTGGGATGCTTTCTTACCTTCTCTTTCTAGCTTGTGCACTCACCCTGTAGCTAATGGGGGTGGGGAGGCAAACTGAATAGAACCAATGATTAGGAATTATTTATCTTTAAATAGTTCTTCTGTTACATAAGTTATTGTATACTTAGACATAGTAAGACAGAAAAACCTTGTGCTGAATAACTGATTAGTCGAATATAAGTTTTTTTTTAAAATATACCAGATTCAAGTGTTACATGGCAATAGAATTGGCTTATTTTACAGAAAACTCTTAATAATCTGTAAAATAAGAAATTATATTATATTCCACATGTAAAAAATGTGAGACCAGTTAGCAAATTATCTAATGACTGCATAATTAATAATTAACTAATTACTGTGAGAAAGAGAGCTTCTGACTGGTTGGCTAAAGTTCTTTTCCCATAAATGAGGGGTTCAACTGCTTTAATCAAACTCCTGGTGAAATACCCAAGAGGAAATGGTAGGCGAAGTACCAAATTGTACAGGACAAACTTGTGGTTCACCTTAAAGTTCTAGCCTTTAAAATCCTAAAGTATAGGTGCTGGCAGGGGGTGTGGTGGTTGAGGCACTGGACTCACAGATGGCCAACCACAGTTCAAGTCCCAGACCCAGTGGCTTACTTTCTCTTCCCTACCCTAGGTCAACTTAAAACATAGCAAGAGAAAATAATTCTGAAATACAAACAAAAAAAAACTCCCACTAAGGTATAAAACCTTTTATAAAGGGTGTGCTTGATGTTTTAAAAGATCCCTACTTATAATATATGCAGATGAGACTGGGAGGAGGCTACAGTGACAATGGAGGCTAGGTCTCGGATCATATATAGTAAGGGTGTCAGAAAAGTGATGACTTACTTGTTTTTCTATGCAACAATGTGTCATGCTTTTTTTTTCTATGACCCAATATATTCATACATTCATGATGAGAGATGATGATGCTTGGCAGTGATAATCAAGACATTTAAAATCACTGGAACAAGCATATTAGTTAGGAATACCTTCTGGGTAAGATTTGATACCTAAATGGCATACATTTTTACTTCCAAAAGAAGTTCCAATTATTAGTGGTTATACAGAGACTAGTCAGTAGCACGGTGGATAAGGTGGCTGGATCCTACATGGCCAACTGCACAGTCTGAGACCCAGTGACTTGAGAAACACACCAGGTGTATGTGAGTGCATGCCCATCCCTGCTGGGGTGACTTCATTTTCCCTCTCTTTCTTTCTCTATCCAACCACAAGCAAACTATAGAAAACTTAAAAAAAAAAAAAAAAAAAAAGTTACTCTTAGGGAAGGAAATAGGATGACAGGGTAAAGGGAGGTTTCATTTTTTGCGGTTTTTTTTTTTTTTTTGAAAGAGGTGTGTGCTCACTAGAGACAGAGACAGTGAGAGGTAAAGTCAGAAATCATCCTGGGGGTGGGGAGCAGTTGGCCATATCACAATCCCTTTTCTTCCATTGTCCTCCCAGGATCTTGGGTATACACGTGCACACACACGTGCCCAGCATGATTTGAAGTCTGGGACTTGAACAGTGGTCAACCATGTGGGAGTCCAGTAATTTAACTACTATGCCACTTGTTGGCTCTTTACTTTTTATCTTCATCATTAATTTCTGAAATAGTACACACACTTTGATGTTTCTTAGGCAATGGACATTTATCAGTGACATACTGATTTATTTTTCTTCTAAATAATTCCTTGTATTAAAACAAACAAACAAACAAAAAACACCTTAACAGGGTGCCTACATAGCAGAAGAGAGGTAAGTACCTCTTTGTATTTTAATTTTGTTTACTCATTCATTTAATTTGACAAAAGAGAGACCGAGAGAGAGTTAAAAAGAGAGAAAATGAGAAAGCAAGCCACCAGGTTTGGGACTCAAACTGCACTCGGCCATGTGGGAGTGTCCAGCACCTTAACCACCATGCCACCTGCTGGTCCAGGTAAGGACTGCTGTTTAAGCCTTTTAAGCTGAAAGTCAGTCAACTGGTAAACTCAATTTTTCCCCTTACATAGTTTTTTCAAAGTACCGTAAATATACACCAGCTGTGGTGCCACAGTACTAGCCTAAAGCTCTGCAATGCTGGAAGACCACATGGGAAGTTGGAGTTGATTGCTGTGTCAACTTACATACACTGGAGTGCACAACATGCCTGTGACCTGGGAAAAGCTGGGGAGGAGGAGACCAGCATAAGACCCTGCCTGTTAAGGGTGCTTGTCT